AAAACATTAATGTGAACATTTGATCACCATATATGACAACACTCAAACCTCCTTTTTCATTAGCATATTAAATTTTAAAACATCATGGTTTTTTAAGGGGGCTTAGGTTTAAGCTTAAGATAGTTTCACTAGTATAGTTATGGAATAATCAATAAGCAAGAAAAGGAAGAACTTTGAGTGAAGACTTAAAATAGCAAGTCTAGGGAAGTTCATGACATTTGCATATCTATAACAAAGCAATTAACCCCTTTTAACATCTCTTATAAGTGTTTTATGTTGTTGAAAGCTAGATCAACATGAGATTTTTAATATATAGCTAAAAAACATTAGTAACTATCTGAATGATTAAATAAATACCAGCTAACAAATCGAACCCCCACCAATAACTAAGATTGCTTGGGGTTAGATAATTTATCAAATGTTGATTAAGTGTGGGGAAAATGAGTTGTTTAAGAAGAGAGAATTATTGTTTGATGATAATCATTTATTTTTCCTATCATATTAACTCTAGTTTTCTCACCTTTTTAACGGTCTAGGACCCTAACTAACTAACTAGTTAGTTAGTTAGTTAGTTATCTTTCTTCCATCTCAAAAGGATATATAGGTGTGAAAATAGTGTAGAAGGTCATAGGTTGCTGAAAAGGTGTGCTCGATGACCAAATTAGAGAGATTATAACTGCTTTTTCTTCTCTCCAACCCTTTTAAACTGATTATCTTTCTAGAATAAAGCAAGCTTAAGAATGAATCTAATTGAAATTTAGGTCTCTTTGGAAGATTTTTATTTCCTCTTCGGTGAATTAGCATCATCTATGAAAAACTAATCAAAAAGCCATCAACTGTTTTTTTAGAATTGATTTTTGACATCCTTAGTTGTTATTAATTGTAAACAATCAAGAAAATCCAAGGATGAGATATGTCATTGACCTCCCTACAGAAGCTAACACGTCTTCTCTATTAGATTTTCAATGACTCATTAATTATGTGCAAACCCTTGCCCAGGTCATCTTGGCATTTCAAGAGCAACATCACGTCTTGCCATTCCAACAAGTACCAGCACATGAGGTAGCTTCCTCAATCCTAATCTCCCAACCATAACCAGTTTGCCCTGTCTGGAGATAATTATTTTATATAGAGAATACTGATTCATAATGACTTGAAAAGCTTTTCACCTTGATAATCTCGTAGTCCTATAAAGATCACTCTTGTAATCCTTCTAGTCACTACAAGATTAAAGTAAAATACTGATGTTTTTTAGCTTTATATATAATAATTAAAATGGATAATTTGTCGGGGTGACTTAATTGTGAAAAAGTTAGATAAGTAATGTTATCATTGACTTAAAAATTAAATCAATTAATGGGATGTTAGAATTATATTGAAGGGCTTGTCTAAGAACGCGGTTGAAACCATACTTCATAAAAATTTAATTTTTTGTTTAAAATTAATTTAATTTTATATTTTTAAACTATTTTAATCTGATAATATTTAAAATAATTTTTTAAATAAAAAAACTTTAAAAAATAAAAATTATCACCCTTTCAAACAGTCCTTTCAGCAAGATTTTCACTTGGAGTGCTTTGGTTTTTTATTTACTTCCATTTCAATAATCACTGTTTGCACGAGTGATTAGCTGGGAAATTGTAAGATCGATAAAGACATATGAATAGATGGGTACAACAAACAACTTAATTAGGGCCGCGCGGTCGCTGTGAGTAAAATCTCAAGTTTATTGAATTAAAGCAAGATTCATATCTACTCTATAAATGTTTATTATTATTCATTTTTTTTAGAAAAGAGCATGCCATGTGTTTGGGAATTATTGTTCAAGAAGGCGTAGAAGATTATACGTCTTTCAGAGGGATATAGAGAGTAATTGCCAGTGCATGCAGCGTAGATTAGATGCATTCTAGGTTCGCCCATGGTGCTCCTTTCCCCATGGTAGAGAGGCCCTAGAGGGCTAATCAAATGCCAGAAACACCTGGGAATCGAGATGTGTATATCTCACTCAAGCTAAATCTTGTATTTTATTAATCACCCACCAAAGAAAAAAGAACAGAATTATATGAACAGTAAGTCTAAAGAACTCTCCATCATTAAGGAAGGGGTTTAGCTTAAACGCGGGAGTTCATAAGAATGTGAATTCTCAGGCGGAGTCAAGGTTCACCTTCAGAGAGGACAGAAATGAACAAGGGTTCTTCTTTTTTTATGCTGCCAGGCACTGCTTGTTCTGAACCCCTGCCGTGTCAGAAACAACAAAGTAGAAGATACGTAACTTTATTATTTTTTAGTCGTCAAGCCATTGCAGATTCCAGACGTCACTTTTGCAGGTTTTATATATCCAGAAGAATAGGAGGAAATTAAGGAGTGTACACATTCATTCATACATTGCTTTGTGATCCAACTCACATTAGCTGGAGTTAA